ACATTGGAACTGTTTAAACAAATATAAAATGCTTTGATTTCAGGCAGAAATTACACGAATAGTACTCAGTTTGAAAAAAATAATACATGACCTTGTTTTTTCAACTGTTGTTTTTTCAATCTGTTTTTTCAACAGATTTAATTTAAGAAATATCTCCATCCGCAATATTGCACAAATTAAAATGTATTTTGGTGGGCAGTTCTCAAATCAGAGAGTTCGACAGAGGGTCAGCCATAATGTCGTTTTGACCGACCCTCGCTACATTTAATAAAAAGGTTAAAGATAAACATTGGAGCCGTTGTTTGATACCATAATTGTTTTAATAATCGGTGGTATATGTCGTGCAAATTACAGAAAAATTTCTTATTTTGAACATTTACATATCCTCATTTTTAATTATCCCTCTTGAATGAACAGATGTTATTTAAAAAAATTCTCTATTTTCAATATTGTAGTTATAGAAAGGATCTGAAAAAAATTGAACTTTTGCAATTATGAAAAATTCACAGATTTTATCGACAATGATACTTGCGCTATTACTTAAACGTTGTTTACACTAACCGAAGGAATACTTAAATAAAAAAATGCGGTGTCATTTTTGAGAATATTTAGAAAATGTTGAGGCTTTATGAAAATTACCCCAAAATGCAAAATATTAATTTCAAACTCGCAAGGTTCAAGTTTGTACAGATCGATCTGGAAATATTAATTCGGAAGAAAATCGTCTGAACGGTTTAAGGGTGAGCGTTTACTGGAGGGGGGGCATTCAAATAGGCTGTTGCGTCGATTGATTTACAAAGAACCAAGAAAAAGTGGATTCTGACAGCACAACGTGTTAGAGGAAAAATTTACTACATATGTAAAGAAATATTTTTGCAGTTTTTCGTTACCAGGGCCCGGCATTATAATTTTTTTCTGACAACATATTGCTAATTTTAGCCGCGACATCCAACTTGATCGAAAAATATTTGATCTTCTTTTCTTTGAAAATTGCCAGAAAAAAGTAAAGTTAAACAAAAAATAGAAAAATGAAAATTAAGCAACTTAAATCCATTAATGTCACATTAACTTCTACTTGTGCAAGTCATGTGATAAAATTATATTATTATAGATTGTTCTAAAATTATTTGTGACGTAATCAATGCTGATCCATAATAATTTTTCAAAACAACAACAAATCTATACATAAATTAATAGAGAAAATGAAAACAATAATTAAATTGTTAACAAACCTGATAATGGTAATTCAGTAGTCATAATGAATTATATTGACTATATTGAAAAACTACGAGCCTTCATAGATGAAAACATGTTCTTTACTCTAGATAAAGACTCCACTTCTTCTTTCAATGTTAATGTTAGGAATACTATAATGTCTTGCAGTTTAATTTCTCATCAGAATAAGAAATCATTATTAGTTACGAGCCCACAATGCCCCAGATTATATAGCCTCAATAATCCATGGTCATTTAAGTAAGAAATACATCGGTAGAACTGAATAACTGTGCCAAGTACAGAAGTTTTTATCTTACACCTGGAGCCTGGTCTGCCTGTCAATTGTTACTTTTCGAGATATCGTTTGGATTACATAAAACATTCAAATCGCAACTTTTCTCCAGGAAGAAATCTATTGGGTTCTACAGTAACGAAATCAGACAAATTGGAAAGGAATAATTGTACCGTCAGGAAATGATCGTTCAAATTCCACGTTTATTACATAAATATGAGGTTATGATTAAAAATGGTAGGTTTTAGCAAGTGGTAAAAATTCGAAATGTTACCAAACTCTGAGAAAATTACTAATTGTATGTTTGATGGCCAGTGCAGTATATTTCTCAAGTTTTCAATTTGCAATAAAATGTGAAATCACATTCAAAGTGCCAAATGGTTGTGAATCTGAAATTAAATTGCCAAATTGCATTTGATGGTTTCCTTTGTGTTCTCTCCATCAGACCGAAAAAGTAGGTTAAAGGAAACCAACACTGAAATATCCTCCCAGTTAATTTTCCACTGATTTGGTTACATTTTAATAATATGTATTTATATAAATATATATTAATTAACAAAGTACCCGACCATTTAAAAGAATGTTGTTTTAATAAGTATTTACAAATTGCAAGACAGTATTTTACCTTTGCTTTGAATAGTGTTATTCAGAAGACTACAGGCTATTGCTGTTCTATACAAAAAAGTAATCATTTTATAGATTTAAAATTACTTCTTTAAATATTTGTTTAAGTTCACAAATGGGAATATATTAAATTAGTTTCTCTTAGTTTTTAATTTTAATGGGAAAATTTAAAAACCATCATAATATTTTTTGTCTCAAACAGATGTTTCTTAATAATAATGTTCTCCACAAATGCTAACAAATGCTATCTTTAATTTTTATAGTGCTAAAAAAATCTAGAGTTTTCAATATACTATTTTTTTTAATTAAAAGGGCTAAATTCTACCATCTCAACTTATGATTATTGGAAAGAAAGAAAATTGTAAAAAAAGTGGTAATAAAGAATAATAATGGCTGAAATTTAAATGCTCAGACATATATTGTATGGTTGCATCTATCTCTGATCTGCATTGCATCTAAATCTCATATAATTGCATCTAATAGGAAATGCTGTTGCGTGCATTTCACAACTACACGTAACTTTAGATTCATTGCTTTCTCAGATCATTACAACGTCATATTTTCAGTGAATTATTCAGCATTTTAATTTTTTTCCTATTTTCCACGTCATTAATTTATCTGTACCCAGAGGATACATTCTCAACACTTATTTTGTTTAATTATCTTTATGGTTAATTAATACTATTCTCCCGTTCGGACAAAATGAAATGAATGCGAGAATACTCGTATTACTTGAAAATTTGTTGATGTAGGATTTCAAGAAACTGTACTTGATATGTTAGCATATGATTGTATATTGCGTGTTCGCAATTGAAACTTGATGTAACAGAAAGCCCAATGTTTCAGTTCGGATTGTATCGAATTTACTTTATTAAGATAAAGCACTGTAATGCTGCTGCAATTTTTTGAAAAAAACTCATATTATGCGGCCCTGATGCCGAAAAAGTGGATAAATCTTGTTCCTCTTAGTAAATTATTTCCTCTAACACTTTGAGTCAGAAACTACATTTTGTGGGTAATTGATACCACAAAATTGGTTGATGGGACGTCTATCTACTCCCCTATGGTCAACGATAATGCCTAATCCATTCAAGCGATTTTCTCCAAAATTGGTATTCCTCATTCGCTCTGACGGAACTCGAAATTCTGGAAATTTCAAATGGTTGTTTTGATTTTTTAGGATACTTTACATGAATTCTTAATAACACTTTTACAATTTTCCCAAAACTGCTTCCGAATTTTTAGATTTTTTCTACGCACAGAGCAAAACACGCATAAAAATTATGCAGGTTGCATTTTAATTAAACTCTGAATTTTCGAAAATAACAAAACTTCTTAATTTTTTCGGCGGCTTTCTAAAACTATAATATTGAAATTGTTGTTTTTTTAATGAAATCACTTCGTAAAAGAATATACTCTAAATAGCGTCACGTACAAAGTATTAGTAATTTTCACATATGTTTGGGTGAAATATAAGCATTTTTTTTAAATGTTTAAAATGTTTCTGGAATAAAAGGCAGTACGCTGATAAAAGAGACTCAGTGCCCGTTGTAGGTGTTACAAAATAAGTTAACATTGCAAAAAGGGAATGCTTCAGAAGGCGAATGTGTGATAGCTACTTAAACCAGAGCTACTGAGATAAAAGAATTCGAGCCAGACTGTCCTGATTGCTTGCAGTTGCCCGCAGCTCGCTCGCCTTGGCCCCGACCGCCTTCCCTCCCCTCCCGACGGACTGAGTCACCAATTTCTATACCTTTTGAATATACTTTATTACTGAATTACAAGTTTTTAAAATGTTTTATTTCGTTCCAATCAATACCTAGCGAATGCCGGCCAGTACCCCAACAAACGAGCCACGGTCCGCTCGCGATCTTTCTTTCTTCCTCCCTGCGGCGCTTCAGATCAATAGAATTTTAATGCGGTGTCTAGCACTTTATTTTAAATTCTTTATACCATTTTATTCAATGTGATAGTTGCATCTGCAACGGGTTCTGATAGTCCTCGCTCCGATTTTTATAATCCATATTATGGTTTTAAATAATGGCATGGGCGCCAATGACCGTTGCTGTTAAAGAGCCCTTTAAACATCAATCAATCAATCAATCAATCTTCTTCCCTGTTCTATCCTCACCCCTTACTTACACACACATTTACACGCACTACACTACCTCACTTGTCGGGAGCTTACGCCGTCTGAGGCGACGCCCGACTGGTGGAAGATACCTGGATAGCCAAAAACCTCAAGCTGATAGGTTGGCTCATAGGTTGGCACCGGATCTCGACATTCAGCAGGGGAAGATCACCGCCACCTCCTGTGAGAAATCGTGCCCTACACTTAAGGGGCTAATGACCTTGACCGTTGACGCACCTGTACGCACGAAATAATCACTCAACGAGCAGCGAGTCTCAGTGGACGCCCGCAGGTAAACTCTTTGACAGGCCCAAGCCCCGCCATGGCCAAGGGGTTCGTCCATGTCCGTAAAGTTACCGTACCCACTTATCTCAAAATTGAAAAATATTATCCCAGAATTTTGTTCTAATTAATAACTAATTTATACCCAAATATTAAAAAAATTTCTACCGAAGCACATCATCAAAATAATCAACACTAAAGAGTGGGTACGCTAACATTAAGTTAGCGTTACCCACTCTTTAAGTTGGGTTAAAGTTTATGTTAGTTTCGACACTAAGTGGGCATGCTAACTTTATGGATACGCTGCATCCACATGAGCAGCCCTACCTGAAATAGCCTGCTACAGACCGCGCGTGTTTCCTTCCTTCCGCAAGCTATTCCCATTCACCGCCAGGGCTGCGCACCGCACTACACACCGTACCTCTCGTGTTATGGAAAGATTCCAGCGTTATCTACTGTATTGGCTGGGCTGCGGCAGCTCATCAGCAGCACTGTTGCCTCTGCAGCGTAGTTGTCCTCGGGGTCTCCCCGCCGCATCGCGAAGAAAGTTACGTGCGTCCTCGAAGAGGCGAGCCGGTGTTGCAAGCATGTGCGAAGTTTCCTCAATAATGGACAAGCCGCAGAAAGACGAGATTATGATAGAAATCGATCTCAAGAGATAAATTTCTAGACACTTACGTCTTAATTGGATAATAAGTTGTGAATACCCAGTACAATAAACGTAACATGCTGCATAACATGCTGTACATTTCACTATAAAAACCAAATAGACACTTACGCCTTAATTGGACAATAAATTGAGCATAATGTTGAGCGAAAGAAACACAATCACACTAGCTCGGTTTATCCAACCATAACTGTCACAATCACTCAAGCGGTCACGTCCACCACTAACATTTTATCTAGGAATTTTAATGGGCCACCCTGTCTTACTATGCGAATTCACAGACTACTGATTGTCTTACCGCCTTTACTCAAAAGACCTGCGATTTCCTGCCCACTGTTTGGTCGTAGATATTCATTGCATTGCAAAGTAGTTCACAAAGGTCGAACTCCCGGAGTTCCCCGAATAGATCAGAATCTTGTGTTGTTAACGTTATATATTTTTAATCTGTTCCATGTTCCAGTCCCGCCAGTGGTTTTCGACACTATGTACTTAGCTGGGTCCAATTCAACTACTGACTGGAGAATAATTCTAGAGGTTGGTTGCTTTGTTTGGTAGTTACTACTATCAATACCAGGTTAATACGAAGCAGTACCCAAAAATGGACTTCAGATATCACGCGATCTTTCATTCGCTCCTCTCCATTTGCACCCCAGTTACAGGACTACCATCCATGTCGGGAGACTCATCGAGAGGTTAGAGCTTGTCTCGGCTGGAATAGTGCCTTCTGGGGAAGATCTCTTACTGGGAAATACCAAGCTGACGTGTAAGTCGACGCCAGATTTCACGTTCCAGTACGAAGGAACATCGCCTCTTCCCAGAATATAACATGAACTACGCTTAAAGAACTAATGAGATAAGTAATTACCCCCCGAAATTAATATTCAGTCAATCGTTCACTCCTGATTGACATCTCTGAGTTAAAGTTTAACACAATTAGTTTTTTTAAGAGATCCAGAAATTCTTTATTTCGCAGTCAGATTGCATTGTCGAGTAGTGCCTTCCCCCTGGTCTCTACGGTACTACAAAACAGGCTTAATGAAAATAATCAGCTAGGCAAATCGTGAGATCTCTCCGAAACAGGCATTTTACCTAATCCATGACGCTGATGAATTTTAACATTTTATATAAATATACAAATTGAGATGATCCGCATTTGCATATGGAAGATACTGAGCATATTGCGGTTCAAATATTACAAGAAGCTGAAAGTGATGTAACATTACTTCCCACGAAACAAAAAAAGGAATGAGACAGAAAACAACTTTATAAAATATTGTGAAGTAAAGAAACTTCTCACTCCTGACACAGTTTTGGTAAAGCGTATTTCTTAGAACTGATAAACACAACTGACGTTTACATTTTTACTTTCTCGCAAGCGCTGTCGCGTAGGAGAGAAAGTTATATAATGCTGCGCGAAAAAACGGCGAATTTTCGGCAGAAAAACTCTTATTACAGGGTTCTAGTAATGATAAAGTGAGCAAACACAGATGCTGGGAAAAACGTCCTCTCACACGTGGTAAAACCAGAATCAATGTTTGGTGGGTCCTTGATTGATACAGTAATATCGATTTATGACAAAACGTCTGTCCATCCATTCATCAGTCAGTCAGTTCGTCCGTCCGTCTGTGAACAAAGCAAGTGGCTAAATTGTTCTGTGGCAGATGTTCTCCAAAATTGATATTCCCAACCGATTTATCCGATGTCTGGTCCCTTGAATTTGAAGCCAATATTTAAATTTTTGGGTTACGTTACGTGAAGGCTCTGAGACATTATCAAAAAATTGCCCCCATTTGTATTGAAATTTGTGGATGGATAGTCTGAAGGAGAAGAGAATGATGTAGAACCCATTTCGGTTTAAAACTCTGATTTTTCGAAAATTGAATAAAATTTTGTCGGGGACCTCCTATAACTAAAGTATTAAAGATTACGATTCTTCCCTTTAATAAAATCTGTTCCTTAAAGATAAATTTTGAAGTAAAGTCATGTCCAATTTTTCGAAAATTTGAGTACTTTTTCGTAATTTTGTGAGAAACATAAGCAATTTCTAATTTTATTTAAACAATTTTTCAACAAAAACGGCTCCTCCGATTTTGATCAAGTTTTGTTGGTGGATAGTGTAAAGATCATTTAAGTAAATGGTGTAGGTCTCATGTTGGTTAATAAACCTGATTTTTCGAAAATTGAAAAAAATTAAAATTTGTTCGATTTCTTCCCACATCTACAATTGTGAAGATACAGATAATTATTTTTCTTAATGAAATGTGTTCATCGAATACAGATTTGAATCAATTTTTTGAAAATATGAATATTTGTTTAGTAATTTTGCTAGAAACATGATAACCGCTTCCAATTGACTGCACTTCGTCTTCGGCGTCTTCCGACAAGTACAATTGTAAACATGCAATAATTTTTCTTAATGAAATGTATTTATCAAAAATTTATCTTCAAATACTGTCAGGTTCAATTTTTTGAAAATATGAGTATTTTGGGGTTAATTTGGAGACAGAAATAATCGCCCGGTCCGAATTTATTACGCTTCGTGGTCGTAATTCACGACAATTGGATAAGTTTGAATTTTTGTATTATTTAATATTTCATAGTTCGTTTCGTACCTACGACCTTTTGTTATACATTTACACATTATTCTTTTAGAAATTATTTAAAACCTATTTGAAATACTGCTAGTTTTCAGGGAATATCAAATTGGAATACTGCTATGACTTGACAACAACGACTCGTGAGCTCATTTTTGTAAATGATGTATTGTTGGGACATAATATACCTTTATCAATAGCAGTAATAATTGTCAAATTTGTATTTATACTTTGATTTGTATTGATACTGCTTCAAAATATAGGTTTGCATCAAATGTTGTACGATATGAAATGAGTAGGGTTGGGCAGTATTTGAATACTTTTATTTGAAATACGTATTCTAAATACATTCATATGTTCATCCACGTCACTCGAATGAATGTTTTCCTTTACAGGGTTTACACATTCGCAATTTATGGTTTATTGTCGGATGATTGGTTTGAAAAATCAGTCGTTTTAAAATTAAATTTCATTTCTTTTTGTTAGACCTATTTTTGATATAATTTTATATTTGAAAATGTTTTACACGTAGTAACAATACATTACAATATTTATTGTTCAGAAAAATGTATGATGGTCAATTACTAATTTACTGCAATTGACATATTGTTGCAATAAAAAAATATTTAATACAAAATTATATATTTACAGTATTTTACAGGAAGTACAATGAGTACAATGTACTTCCAGGAATTAGTTCTTCAATGTTGAAAAATTGTAAACGTAAAACTCTTCAGCAAAATATCAAGCCATAGTTAGCCCGAAGGCAGACGTTCGCGCTTTTTTAGAGGATCGGGCGAAAACGCACAAGTTCGCAACACCGCCGCGTAGAGCGCTTCATTCAAATCGAACAACAAATTCTTAACAAGAATTCTTACACTTAATCACTTGATTTCTTATTGGAAGGTGTGGAGTTTTAATTGCATGGTGCAATTTTACTTGAACGTGTGCTATTTGAACATTTAGATAATCAACGATTTTTCATGGAAATAATAAGCACATTGAGTTTACTAATCGAAAAAAACTATTAAATTAAATGAATCAATTTAAGATAAATAAACATATAAAAAACAACTGTTCAAGCAAACTGTTTTTATTATAAAACTTATATTTTATTTTATTCAATGCACATCTCATTATGTCCAAATTTTTGTACAAACCATTTCAACAATGTATTGTTATTCTACATTCGTAGTTTATTTTATTTTTATTTAATAGGTAATTATTACAAATGAATTAGATTACTTGATCCTATGTGGCTAGCCCGAAGCCTTTAAGCCATTACAAATTAACTTAATCCTTTCGCTATCTTAATCTTTTCGAATTCTGGTATTCACCCAAATGTTTCTCCATCGCATCAAAGCCGCGAAAAAAGAGACCACAAGGTAACGGCTTCAGGAAAAAACCCCTGAAGGCGGGAAAAACCTGCCGTCAGAGCCGAGTACATTCTAATCTTATCCGACGTTTTATTTTAGCTATTTATTTGTCTTGCGGGCATCCCGCCGTCTCCTTCCAGTGACTTGGCCATCCTCAGCCCTGAAATCAAAAGCAGCGCCACAGAAGATCGTCCGCGACCAACGCCTTCTGCCTTACATTTTAGATTCCCCCCTTCACCTTCACCTCCTAATGTGCTTATACTTATGCCAGTTTATTTTATTTATTGTATTGACCAGTTATTTACGCAATTGACTACGACTTATGACTTATGGCTGTTTCTGACTGTTTACTAACTTAACATAAAATTACGTAACTGTAATTGTTAGCTATTTACTTATTTATTTCTCTCAGTTCCTAGGCTCCGCTCAAGCTAACCAGTGCTGTTTTCCCACTCTCCTAATTTCAGTTTCCTCTAATGGTCCGTACCTTTCACTAACAATGTTCCTAATTCTTTCATAAATTTAGATCTTTTGTCACCTAAAATGTTTTGAGCGAGCGTTACGTTCCTGTTTAGGAAGTAGATAATTCCCATTTCATCATTTTTTCTCCATGTTTCGGTTGCACAGCAAATTAAGGGCTGTGGGGGTCCGTTTCCCGTTCACCGCCAAAGCACACAGATGCCATTCCACTTGCGTCCTTAGTGCTACGCTGCAATCCCCCGCCAACCCTGAAACCAAGCGTATCCCTCTTGCGGTCTCTCCGAGTTATGTATGTAACTTTCGCAACCCCATAATGGACTCGCATGGATTTTCAGCTACCAGCCGAACGTTTTTCAGCCGTGCCTGCCCAGATCTCTTGCCTCTTTAAGTATCCGCAAGTCTATCGGAATTCAGCCATTC